CACTGATATGATAATTCAGGGTTTAAAGACCACTGGGTTATCTCTGAAAACATCCAGGGTTTCCAGGTATTTCCCTGTTCTTCTTTAGCATATCATATTATCAGCCCACATTGCACCTCAGCTCACATTAGCTTGTTACTGAAGTTCCTCTTCAAACCACACACCAGCCTGAGAGGTTTCAGCAGTGTTCCTTCCCTTACAATTTTTTCAGAGAAGAGTACCAGCAAGTCAATTTCACTTCAATTTCCCACCCTCCAGGCAACCTGGACACCTCTGGAAATTAACCGTGATTTTTGGATTTTTGGATGGAGAGTATCCGTACTAGGATAGGCTTGTAATGTTCCATTCAGTAAGCATTTATTTTATGTTTCCGGCATGCCTAGGCTAAATGGCAAATGCATGCACTGGAACTATTACAGTGCAGATGATTACTTTTCTACCATTAGCTGGAAATGATTCAGAAGATATCCATCATGTTAAACAACAAGATACTTGGCTGTCACCTCATTACTCAGCCCTGCTCAACTAGAATTCTATATATAATTCTAGATTTCTTCTAAGTGTGACTGCAAAGCCCCAAGATTTAGTAATACACATATAGTCAAAAGACTATTTACAGTGGAATGACCTGTTCAGAAAACTGTGAACTGACTCCTGTACAGAATAGGGAGGGGTTCAGCCCACCATGGAACAAAGTAAGCACACCTGTTTGCCCCTTAGGGCGCTACCGCTTTTGCATTAGACAGGTGTAAAGTAGCATCTAATTATATAGACCCATTTAAGTGTTGAACAAAAGCAACCCTGGGAAAGTTCCTATTGCCATTTTAAGGCATCCAAATTGTGTTGTCAGTGTTTAATGTAGGATTAAGAATATTACACTGTTTTCTCATCAAGAGAGGATTTTCAGCATAAGAAAACAGTTCAGCTTCTCTCCTGTAGAGAAAACAGGTTGGATTTCCTTCCCTGGGGATGTTAAAGAAAAGTCAGACAAGCAGGTTTTCAAGTTACAGACCCTAGGTGAGAAATGAGGAGGAGTGTTGGGCATTAGTCTTCTGTTCCCAATCTTGTCTTTTTAACAAGAATCTGGATGAAGCTACAGAAGATGCATTTATCCAATAATGCAGACAGATATGGCTAGCACACTGGACAAGATAACTTGTATTCAGTACATGCTAGAATGCTGAGATGGAACTAAATAAGAGAAAATCTAATAGACATAAAGCAGTCCTACACTCAGGTTACTAAGTCCCCTGCCTGAATAAGAGCAGTCCATGAAAAAGGGCATGGAGATTTTATGAGCCAGCCCTGGACACACATGCTAAACATGGTGCATCCTTTCAGGAAGGATCTGCACATAGCAGCCAGACCTAGAACAAGGAGCTATGTTTACATTAGTTAGAATACATCTGTAGTATTATGTACCTTTTAGATGTATTTATATTTAAATGTATTTATAAAACTCGTTTTATATAGACATTACACACTAGAGTAAATCTAGGTGAAGGCAACCAGGATGTGTAAGCATCTGAAAAATATACAAATATGAGGAACAGCCACAGAAACTGAGGACTTCTAAACAGATCATTTGGAGAAAAGATGTGACAAGCATCTTTTAACACATAAAGCCTTAAGGGCTGCCACTGGCAAAATGTGGTACAATTTGAGCATTAGAATTAATACCTGATAGTACTACATTATAACTAATTATGTAATAAAATAACCCCTGAGCCAATGCTAACAGCAAATAACTAAACCTTAGATTCTAAGGGCTAGCAGATGGAAAAGAGAGTAAAGTTCTTTTTAATAGACAGCTGAAGCTACATCACTTTAGGTCTAGTACAAAGAACCTGCTGACAGTTAATAAACAATAAAACCACAGGGCAGAACTAACTCAAGCATTTTTGAAGATCCTCACAGTCTGCTAAATAATTGTGTGCTCTTATTCATAGAATATAAACCTTTGCTTCTCCTCCAGTCAGAGTGGGAATTAACATTTACTGAATGCCTAATGGTTATCAAGCAAATATTTTACATAATCTTTCCAATAACTCAGTGAGACGAGTATTATTCTCTTTGCTTTAGAAAAAAACAAAGGTGCAGTAACCTTTCTAATGTGACACAGATAGTGTCAGAGCTGGGATTTGAACCTAGGTATACTGAACTCCTTCCACCACACCACAGCATACGTAACACACATGGAGTGGTTGCAGGAGACCCTGGAGCTGCCACAGCACCTCAGGTTGGTGTGTCATGGCCCCTTAATGGTTATGCTTTCCTTATCTACTTGGCCAGAAAGGGAAACTATTACTGTCATTCCTCTGGATTGTAAGAGGACGACTGAGGTACTCTTCTAAAAGTCTATTGTTAGATGAGTCTGAATTGGGTGGGATGTCTCCTCCCCCTCCCCTCCCACAGCCGCCCTTGTTTGCCCTTCTGTTGAATATGAGTCAGTTTACCTGAATCAGTCCACTTGGTTGTCTTCTTCTTTTTCAGAGACTGTTTACCTGACCACTTAGGAACCAGGATTCCCTGGCCGTCTAGTGTAGTTAGGGAAAACCTGACACTGCTGATAACAGCTACAATTCAAACATACCAATGAGTGATTTCAAGGACGAAGGAAAGTACAGTCATAGAAGACACATGGCTGTCCTGTTGTCACTGTTTTGTGTTAGAAGAGTAAGACCATTTACATTACAGTGCATAGTCCTTGACTGATCTTCCCCTTATTTTAAAGTGTGACTAAGTCTAAGGAACTTTCTAGGTTTTGTGTATAGACATAACATAGAATCTTCTGACCTTCTGCTCATGTCTCCTAAGGCCAGAGAAGGTAGTTGAGATTTACTCTTTCTTTAGCATATGTAAAAATAAAATATTCATATATCTGTTTGTTTTCAGACCACTGGTTTTAGCTGCCTCTTAATCCTGGAGATTCCTGAGACCAGTCACTTTGACCCCTGTTTATCCATTTCACAAGTATCTCCTGAGCCCCTGTATGTCAGGAGTACAGCAATGAAACAGACAGACACAGCTCTTGCCTTCATTAGGGCTCAATGACCTGGCTCTAGAGACAGACATGAAACAAAAAATTATACAAGCAGAGATTCACACTCAACAAATAGTCCACATCTCTCTACAGCATCCAGCACAGAGCTTGGCACATGATAGGTGCTTCTACATGGATATGTGAGTGTTTCTGTGACATATACAGAAAAACTGACCAGCTGAGTTCATCCTAGCATCAAGAACTCAATGCTTTGAGTTTCAGAGTAGGAGAAAACATGAAAAATCAGGAGATCTGTGTTCTAGTTCCTGCCTTCCCACTAACTACTAGAATTTTCTTGGGTAAGTCACTTAGTTTCTCTGAGCCTGCTTCCTTACTTGCAGAATAAACACTACTAAGTAAAAGTAAAATGGCTAGCCCTCATTAAAAGTAAAATGGCTAGCCCAGGTTCACCTACCTTGCCAGAAAGACAAGGAATAGCTGGAGCTGAGGTCTTCCTTAAACAAATGGCTCTAGTATAGGGGTCTGTGTGAAAGTTAGCTGCTGGGAAGATGGATTGGCATCTGGAAGGGATGAATCCCCTGGACCATGACACTAATAGTCCATGTCTGAACATGGGGAACACTGCACTTGACTTACCACCCACTGACTATTTAAAGGGGAACACGTTTTATACACTAGGAACACTAGGTTATATTTCTAAACAACAGGTCAGAGGAGACAGAAAATTACAGAAATGTTTTCTGTTTGTATGTTTTTACAAGCGGAAAAAAAAAACTAATTTTCTATCCACTCCGATAGTCAGTAGAAAATGGCTTAAAAACTTGAGGGCAGTTGTCAGAACTACCATGAAATAACCTTGAGCACTAGTCTAAAGCATGATTAGGGTGATTTGGCACCACCATTTCAGCAAGTTAGGGGCACAGTCCCCACACTAAGGTCTCAATGTTTTTTGTTTTTTTTTTCTCCGAGCAAAAAAAAATTCTAATGAATGCAGATCATCTTAAAAGAAATAACTATAACTTAGAAAACTAGTATGAAGCAATGACACAGCCAACTGTCTGAGCCTAAGGAGCAGGCCAAAATACTAGGTCTGGATAAACTAGGGACAAATAATCTTTGGAAACCCAGAACTTAGTTAATAATATCACTAATATGCAGCAAAAGATCATCTCATACTCTTTGGATTCTGGAGTAAGCAAAGGAGAGTAGGCTCAGACATGGACCCTTTCTTCCCTCTGCTACAAATTCCGGCGGTTGCGTTCCTCAACTAGCTGGGGCAAATACACAGAACCTTTGCTACAGTTTCTTGTCTTTTGCTTTCCCATCAGAGCTACTGACTTTTGCTTACTTGCTCCAAAATGTTAGAAAGCAAGTGGCCAGGCTTTCTTACACAACAACTACATCCTTCATATACAACTGTCTGGTCCTCCTGCCTCTCAGCAACTGAGCCTCTGTAATCTGGCCAGAGGAAAGCATCATTTCCATTAGAGTCCCTTTGGATAAGAGACTGCTGCCAAGCAGCATCTCTGTGGCCATTTCCCAAACCATTAATTTTGGCCTAACTTTGAGATGAGCTCTTCTCAAATCATTGTAAATTGAGACAACCATAGCCACTAAGGTCCCAGGACACTATTCCAACTCAACCTCCCTGAGATCCATCCTCCAAGAAGGCATAACAGTCTAAGAAGCCCAGGTGGGGCATCTCAGAAAGAGAAGAGACCCAGACTCCTTTACTACTCAGCCTTTCTACTTCTGTTAAACTCTCCCAACGAGAGAGGTCAGCCTCAACCACCGCAGTCTTCCATCCCCTCAGACCAGATCTCATGCTGGGACATACCTCCTCCAGCCCTGTTCTTTCCCTCTTGGATGGCACAAAGAGACAACTGGCTCCTGAAGGTAGGATCCATAGTGAGAGAAATTCTCTAGGGGTACCTCTCCAGGGGTGGTTGAGCCAACAAGAAGTCTCAGGGGAAGGAAGGTTAGGACTCTGTCCTACCTTGTCACTGTCCACTGTGTTCTGAGAGGTCCTAGAAGCAATGGAGATGGTGTCTGGTTGGCTGCTCCCATCCCCCTGGCTGTCAATATCCTCCACTCCATCCCTGCAGGAAGAAGAGAAAAAAAACAGGGGTGGGGGTGGGGGGAACCACTGTGGGTTTAGAGCGCACAAGGATTTCCGGCTGGGTGGGCAGAGCAGCGCCTCAGTACTTCTAGCAGGGATTTGTCTAAAATTATCCTGCTAAAGAGAATGGCCCTATGTGATTTTCAGTGATGTCACTTCTTGCGGTTAGTAAACACATAATCACTATGCTGATAACTAAATGCAAAATGACCCTCTTCCCCAAAAGTTCTCCAGTCTATGCTGCAGAAGGGGTGTACGTATATGTGAAAAATACATAGGGGGTGTGTGTGTGTGTGTGTGTGTGTGTGTGTGTGTGTGTGTGTGTGTATTTATATTACTGGGAATGGGTCTGTAACAGGCAGTAGGAAGATATATATCCTACTTAGAGCCTAGGCATCTATCCAAGTGATTAGGTCATTTCCAATAATCACAAGTTCAGGGTATTCAAGTTTTTGTACATACTGTAATTAGGATGAGGGTTCATTTACAGCTGAGCTATAAAGAAAACAGAAGTGATAAGATTTCTTTTTTTCATTTTTATTTTTTGAACAGAGTCTCATTCTGTCACCTAGGCTGGAGTGCAGAGGCGTGATCTTGTCTCACTGCAACCTTTGCCTTCCAGGTTCAAGCGATTCTCCTGCCTCAGCCTCCCAAGTACCTAGGATTCCAGGCACCTGCCAGCATGCCCAGCTAATTTTTGCATTTTTTTGTCGAGACAGGGTTTCACCCTGTTGGCCAGGATGGTCTCAAACTCCTGATCTCAGGTGATCCACCCACCTTGGCCTCCCAAAGTGCTGGGATTACAGATGTGAGCCACTGCATCTGGCCAAGATTTCTTTTAAACTTGTGTTTCTTCTGTTCAAGAAAACAGATTGAGTGGAATATTGCCTCCAGGGAATATTATCACTGGGAAATTCCTGATATTGGACCCTCAACTCCTGGGTGTGGAGGAGGAATTTATTGCCTTCCTCTGGGTGAGTTTTGAGGATCTCATGCATATTTATCATGATTTCTTATCAATACAGAAGGCCAAGGCATTCTCTCAAAGACTGGAGAACAGTCACAGGTTCCACAGCAGCTTTGGAGCCAGCTGTGCTGAGTGTCAGCTAAGAGTCTCCTGAGTCACGCCTGGCATTTAGACCCCTTGCTGGGCCCTGTACCATACAGCTGTCCCACTCCCATGTTCTTTCAACTCTCCAGCTGTAGAACTGTGCCCCCATCCTATACTGAGCTCACAGCCATGGCCAAGAAGGACTGGATATCTGGAAACTAATGAAGGCTGCAAGGTCTGTGCCTGGAAAAGCTGGTGGCAATGTAGGGTTGGGGTTGGGTGAATTAGCACAGAAAATGACAGCTCTTCCCATGAGTGCTTTTAAAAAAGACACCCTGATGATGTTTGTGGAGAAGTAATGGCATCAGGGGACAAGGAAACTGACAGCCTGAGAATCCTACCACATGAACAAAGTGACACAAATAACGAATTCACCTCAAAGGGTCTAAATGATTATGCTCTGGTATATGTGTGAATGTATGTAGATGTCTGTGTATGCAAATACCCATGCATGTGCACATATATACACAGAATGTCTATTCATCATAAAAAGTATTTTCACCCACCCAGAACACTTCTAAGTCAACTGCTCTCTCACCATCATTTGTGGGCTTAGGAAATGCCAATTTATTTTAATAACATAAGCCACACATTCGTAGGAAGGAAAATCTGCTGTAAAAAGAATTTATGTGACGCATTTCAAAACCAAAAATAAAGGACTTTTAGATCATCTGTTGTTTTGGATTATCTGGGTGAGCGCTCCCCACCATGTGTAGACAGTTGAGAGCTGGCTGTACTTTCTGCTTCCCATTATTATGGCCCATTGTGGGCCCTTCTGGTCTACTCCAGATGAAGCCACTTCTGGGGGATGTGGGGAGCCCACCTAGGAGTGTAGGTAGCATTCCCCAGCCAATGCACTTCTCTATAAACTCTCCATATCCAGGAACCTAAGCTACTGGAATTAAAGACTGCCTGGCTATTCTCCGAAGAATATGCCAAGGTTTCTCACCCACCCATCATAGGACAAGAGAAAAGGTCAGAGCAGAGCAAAGGGCATTTCCAAGATAGGCCTTTCCCATGTTCTAGAAATGCTCAAACTCTCCTACTATAGGAAAAAGAGGCTATTTCAGGGTAAATAACCCTAGTGAGCCTCACCTGAGTATCCTCTCTATGGTCCTAGACCACAATTTCTTTATAATTGTTTCCTTTCTAACTTCTTTATTAAAGTAGGGATTCCCTGAAGCATGACCTGTCCCCACTGCCAGACTTTAGTCCATCCCCTCCTTACCTGGACTCTGGACACAGACAACTGAAGTCAAAATGATCCCTCCCCCAGAATAGTTATAATTTGTCCATGCAGCACTGAGGAGGTGACCTTATCCTGGTCATGTAGGTCTTGGGGCTTCTGCTGCGTGGAATTTTCTCTACCATAGTCACACCCTTCTTTTGGCTACCACCTCACTCAGGACTGCTGCTGCTTCATAGACCCTTAAATGGCTCCCTACCCTGCTTGTCCTGGTTGGTGTCTTAAGAGTGAATGAAATCCTCCAGATTTATTCCATTCATGTACAGGGGAGGAGGGAAGAAACTGTTACCACCAGTGACCATCTCGGCTAGAACCCTGGGCTTTTTTTTCTTCAAAATTTATGAGAAGTTTTTGTATGCTTTCTTTGGAAGTGTCCCCCGAAAGAGTTATTATAAGTGTCACATGGAGACTTGGGAAAGAAATACTTAAGAAGTCATCTATGGGTTTAGACAAAACTGGGATTCAGAAGGGTCCAGAAAGATATGAGAAATATGTCCTCTTCTGCCCAATGACATTGCTTATCATAGGTTAGTGAAGGTGAGGTCTCTGTGGGGGTTGCAGTAAGAGCTGCAATGAAACTACCACCCCACACATTACAGTACACAAAGCCATTTCACTATCTAATATCTAGCCAGCCCAAAGGGTTACTCCACTCTAGGGCTCATCTCAAGTTCCCTTTCTTTGAATTCTTATAGAATTTATGATCCCTATAGGTGGTTCTAGTCTATTTCATGTGTGAGACATGACTATTAGATGGCTTGTAAGGGAACTGACTCATCTTACCCTTTCTTTTATCTTGCAGCACCTAGCAGAGTGTTTATTAAATAAGAGGTGCTCAGTGAAGCCCTGCTGAATTTGACACTGGTGAGATGCTTAAAGATGAGATGACTCATCCTAGGTAGAACTCACAGGCATTCCTGGAGAGTGCCACTGTGCAGGGCACATCCCCCTCCAGAAGCAAAGATTCATCCCATTCCCGCACCCAGAAGCCTGGGAGGCAGGCAGTGCTGGAGGGAGAGGCGCTGGTTACCTCTTACTATTGTTCCTCTGTTTGGCTGGTGTTTTGGGGAGCTGAAGTGGCTCCTTTAAAGCTCCTTTCAGGTGAATGATCCTTTCTTGAATCACTTCTCGAATGTTCTTGATCCACTCCTGCTTGGTTTCGATGTTGGAGGCCTGGAGTGCCACAGGGAGAAAGACTGAGAACCCCAACTCCCATCATCTTGCCAAAAACAGTTCTCAACCCTCCACCTGCAGTCTTTTTCCATTATTTTCAAGGATTCCATATGTTTGGGGAGTTTATTTTTCATTTCATACTTATGACTTTTCAATACCAGAAACAGGCTTCTTCAACTCCCAGGGCAGCACTCTGACCTCAAGACTCAATGCAGAATTACTTGCACGGGAGTAACTGTCAAAGTATTTTATAACCCAATAAAGCACTGACCAATCCTGATATCTGCCCTGGAGCTGGAACAGTATCTGAGGGTTCCCCCGGGACAGGGGTTAACATTTGGGTTGCTAGATCCTGGGAAGTTCTAATGGGCACTGGGAGAGGCAGTATCTACTTCCCAATCAGTATGGATATATGTCAGGATGTTCGCCTAGCATGGATACACAAACTTGTACTGACTAGAAGTCAACCTTGGGTTTGTGGCAAGCTAACTCTGTTAATTGAAGGCACTGCTATCATTTTATACTGATCCAATTTGTCTTGGTAGATTTTTTTTTTTTTTCTGGTAATTCTGCCTCACAACAGGTAGCAGCTATGCTGGCAATTCAGAGTGAAGAAGTGTGAAGCTTTTGTTGGGGCTGGACCATCTTCTCTTTGGTGATAGGCACTTTCCTGACAAGTAAATGACTGCTGGGAGCTCCATTATCTCCATGATCGCTGCTCAGCCACGCTAACATCACTGCTGCACCCCAGAGAGCTGCAATGACTCAAGGCTGCCCTCTGGTGAAAGGCCCCTCTTGACACTTCTTTCCATCATTATGGTCCCCATGCTAACGTGATTTACTAGAGGTTTAAGAATGTAGGTTCCCAGGGAATAAGATCCATATCCTGTACAGTTATCCCCCACCACACTAGGCACTATGCCTTTTACAGAAGCTATTTAAGAAAAAATGTCAAATTAATGTGGAGCAAATCAAGGTGACTTTTGTCAAAGGGTCAATTGTTCTTGCCATCTGAAGGAAGACATACGGACACAGCACAGTTTAAGTGGACCTTGCTGAGGTGGCCCCACAGGTCACTCCCTGATCTCTTCCCTCTTGGTCACACATGTGCATGCACTTGAGGAGATTATGCGTCTTTGAGATTCTGGGTCTACCTTCATGACAGAATTTGTTTCTCAATACTCATGGGATGCTGCCATTCCCAAGAGAGGCCCATGGCTCAGTAGAGTGTCTAGGCCTTAACTTTCAGGTGTCAATTGCCCACCCCCCACCTTCTACTACCTCCAACCCTAGTCTTGTGCCTAGCAGAAGGCAGTACTTACTTTCAGCACTGTTTTATTGTCTGAGGATGGGGTGCGCCCAGACCACAAGGCAAATTTGCAGGGGTCGCCCTCCACGTGCTCGGTCACACCCAGCTCTGAGGTCTGTAGACAGGAAATGCCTGTGAGAGGCGGGGAAAGGGAGGGCAGTGGGGAAACTTAGGGCTGGGGTGGGAAGGGAAAGGCAACAAAGAGGAGAGGACCGAGGGAGGGGCTTCTGTCAATCAAACTTTAACAGATTGGATATTCTGTTCATCTACCCAGGATGGAAGGACCTACAGGCACGTGCCTGATTAGCAGGTACCAGGGAGGGAAGGTGAAGAGGGAGGTGCTAAAAGCAAACAGAAAGAAGAACTGTGAACTCTAAAATGCAGACGTGGAAGGTGGGGGGGGGGGGTGCTTTCCAAACAGAAGGCATTTTCATTTGTCCAGGATGTTTTTGGTGTGGAGGCCAGGGAGATGAGATGAGTGTGTCCAGATCCCTTCCTGCCCATGGGTTCTATGAAAGCAGGGAGTCTTGTCTTACCCCACCTGCCCCACCTACCAGTAGCTTGTTCTTGTAAACATATTTCGTGTGTCCTGTAGAGTCTTTGATCTCCTTGCTAAAAACCAAGGAGATCTCAAAGAGGAACAAGTGCCGCTCCCGCCCCTTCCGGATCAGCGACTTTGGGTCCCACACTTGAAAGGCATCCTGAAGAATCAACTCCCCCTGCACGTCCAGGTTCTCGTCGAACCCTGAAAAACACCCATTTCCACCCTGTAGAGTTTCTCTATGGCCAGTCAGGGACCATGTTCCACTCCCCTTTTGGAGAAAGACCTCTCTTACTGTTAATCCTCAGTTCCTACAGGGTTTCTCTCTCTCTGCTAACTCCAGAGACTCCTGAACATTTTCACAGACATCTCTGAGAACTGCAATTAGACCTCTCCTGCCCAATTTCTGCACCATGACTTTAATATTCGTGGAATCTCCTGCAAAGGTCCTATGCAACCTCACATCCTCACACACTCACTGTTGGCTTCCTGTAAGGGCAGATCCCATAGCTCCTTTGTCCTCCACAGCTTTCTACTGTTCCTGACTTGCAGCTATGAGTGGGGCTGAGGACAAACACTGCCTGACTGAGTGTCTTCAGCTCCTCTTTATTTGTCATTACCTTAATTTTTTTTTTTTTTTTTTTTTTTTTTTTTTTTTTTTTTTTTTGGAGACAAAGTCTTGCTCTGTTGCCCAGCTGGAGTGCAGTGGCATGACCACAGCTCACTGCAGCCTTGAACTCCCAGGTTCAAGTGATCCTCTTACCTTAGCCTCCCAGGTAGTTGGTCTATACATACGTGCTACCATGTGCGGCTAATTTTTGTCTTTTTTGTAGAGACAAGGTCTCCCTATGTTTCCCAGGCTGGTCTTGGGCTCAAGTGATCCTCCCACCTTGGCCTCCCAAAGTGCTAGGATTACAGGCGTGAGCCACTGTGCCTGGCCCACCTTAATTCTTAGATTCTATTTCTAGAATTCCTCCCTTTGATTGCTTTGCACAAGCATTTAAGTTTATATTTACACCACTTTAAGTTTTTAAGAGAGGCTCTCAAATGTTATTGTGCATAGAATCACCTGGAGAGCTCGTGAAAACATAGATTACTGCCCACCCCCAACCTCCCCAGATATTCTGATTCAGTAGGTGTGGGGTGAGCCCATAAATGTGCACTTCGGATAAGCTCCCAGGTGCTGTTGCTGCTGGTGGTAAACAAACCATTCATGGAGTAGCTGGATCCAGAGCATAGGTCACGGACCAACTGGAGGAGCTGGGTACTTGCAGAGGATGACATCCAGGTTGGAGGGGAAGGGGAGGTACAAACAGACAGTAAAGGAGTGGAGAAACTGTGTGAACACGAATACATTCAGATGGCTCCTGCTCAGTCTAGGGAAGATAGCCAGGGCTCCTTTGCTCTAAGAATTGAGGCTTCTGGTCCTAAGGATGGTCCAGAAGTATGGAGACTGGATCAAGTCTCCTAAGGTAGTATTGGTGGTACTGGCAGAGTAGGATGGAGTCCAGAAGAAAAACAGCCCATGTGCTTACATACTTGCAAGACTATACACATTTCCTTTAGCATGCATAAAAAATGTTAAATCTTTTTTTTTTTTTTTTTAAAAACATGGTGTCTTGCTCTATTGCCCAGGCTGGAGTGCAGTGGGATGATCTCGATTCACAGCAACCTCCACTTCTTGGGTTCAAGTGATTCTCACACCTCAGCCTCCTGAGTAGCTGGGATTATAGGCACGTACCACCACGCCTGGCTAAGTTTTGTATTTTTAATAGAGATGGGTTTTGTCATGTTGGCCAGGCTGGTCTCAAGCTCCTGACCTCAAGTGATCCACCCACCTTGGCCTCCCCACAAAAAATGTTAAATCTTAACTCATCTAACAAATTCTGCCTCAATATGTCTGCTCTGCTCACTCATTTTGCAGTGTTAAAGACCACTTTACTGGAATCTTACTCTACAGGTTTCTTATCCTAAGAAGATAGTTCCAGCTGACTGAAGTCTTATTGGAGTTCTTTGGCTGGACTTACCTTCTAGGAGGACAAAATGCTGGTTGCACGAGAATGTGAAGGTATTTAATGCCACTCAATAGTACATTCAAAAATGGTTAAAATGGTAAATGTATGTTATACATATTATGTGTATTTTATCACAATAAAAAGGACATAAGGCCGAAGATGGTATGTTTTGTGTGTGTCTATGTGTGTTTATGTGATCAGGATTTCTATTCATTGTGATGACCAAGGCAATGCAATGCAGATGCTATGCGGACTAGCAAGACTGCTGTGGGTTGGGGGATCTCGCACACCAACAGTGAGGATAATGGCCTGTCCTGGACTCTCTCATGTCCACCTAACCTCCAGTGGCTTAGGCCTGGTCCTTCCTGGCAGCAGGGTGCTAGCCAAGTTGGTTCTTGTGGAGGCCCTCTCATATGACAAGGGTCTATGTAACTAGTTGACCTTTCTTCTCTCTTCCAGCCTCATACCTTGTCTAACTTCAGGCCACTCCCTCCCATGATGCAAGCTTCCCCGTCTTAAGGAAGACCAGAGGCTTCCCCAGTGCTGGGAGGACAGCTACCTTCCAGCATGCTGACATGCATGGCATCATTGGCTTTCTTTGGGACACTGAGCATCACTTCCAGGCCATCCTTGAGCTCCCCTTTCCCTTCTTCACAGCAAGTTAAAAGTTCCTGGGGAAAAAAAATTCCGGACACAATTAGGGTCACCTCCCCCAGCTTCCTCCCACCACCTAACCCACCAAGGAAATTATAGACCAGCTTCACTCTCTGTAATGGTTCCCTCTGAGCTACAAAGAAAGTGAGGTGAGGTGGGGAAAGAGGTTATCTCCAAGAATTCAACCACTACTTTTCTCCCATACTGAGCTTTGTCAGCCCAATCTAGCCCAAACTAACTCAATCCAATCCAACTCCCAAATTGATTGACCAGTCAGCAACTGAGGCCTTCTCTGTCACTGGACTGCCCTCTTAGAGAGGGGACTACCCCAGCAAAGCACATGAACAGAGGTGCAGTATTTTGTAATCCAATAAAGAGACGAAAGAGAAGGATGAGGAGAATAAAGGGAAGATAAAGAGTGTGCTACACAGCACTCATATATCCCTGCATGCCTACTGCGAACACCACTTTTATTTACAAGCCTCTACAGCCTGAATGCTGGCTTCCATCTTACTGGGAACAATCTGAGGTTGGAGAGACTTAACAGGCTTATGACATTCCAGAATAATAAACTATTTTTAGATCATATGGATCAGGAATTCCTAATCTGGGCCAATAGATGGGATTCTAGACTATTTCATTGTCAGATGAGGTAAGTGCGATTAAGAGAGATGAAGTGATTTTCCTCAGGCTATATAACTCAGTGGAGGCTACGCTGGGGCCTGAATCCAGGTCTCCTGAATCCAAAACTGGCACTTTATTCACCACATCAATCCTGTGTCTCCTATATTCTGTCCCCCACTGAGACTTCCAGGGGCAATACCCTCCTTCTTTTACCTCCTGGGGAGCTGGGGAGCATGTCCTTTCTTTTGTATTTCCTCATTGGAGACTTGGCCATCACCATCCCCCAAAAAGATACATAGTATCTGGTTGGTGGAGAAAAGATCATTTCCAACTATGTGGAGAATCATAACACCCATTTGGAATGATTTTTGCTTAAACCAGAATGTTCGCTTTTCATTTTTCCTGTTAGGTTCACTGTATCTTGCTCACTTTGACACTGGGAAAGGAATGGTTAAGCAACAGATCTGCAAACTATACTCTCTCCTTGAGGGGGCAAGAGATGGGTGTTAAGTGAAGGTGCCTTTCCTAGAAAGAAGTTCACCAGGTCAAATCTTGTAAACATTTTAATGACAGGCTTCCTCACAAATAACCTAATGGTACTTGCTAGCAAGAGAGGACTTAACTAGAAAATGGTTTTTAATAGGATAAGTCTGGTCTGTCTAGGGCTTCTTACAGTAAACAGTCCTAGAATCTGTGGCTTTAGAGGCATGGATCTCTGGAAGGTGTCACATAAGCTATGCAACTATCTAAGTAAAAAGGGAATATCCTTAATGAGCAAATGGCTCTTTTCAGGGCAAGCCATACAATGTGATGCACATAATTTTCAGATCTTGTAGATCAGTCTGGCCACAGCATGTCCTGATGCTGCAAGAAAGGACGTGGAGCTGCCCTGGTGGTCCTGGCCCTTTTCCCTGTGTCAGCTCTGCCTTGGAATTACTTGTGTCCTTGAAATTATGAGTAAAGCTTTATACTTGGTAAGATATCTAATTAGTGAGAGTCTGACATAAAAATCTAATCCTTAGTGTTATATATTTCCATAGGGATAAGGGAGCTTTGAGTGTCCAAAGAAGTGTGCTACCTAGATCGCATGTTTGGGAGGGAGACGTGATCAGTTCTCAGCTCTGTCCTTGGCTCCAGTCAGTGTAAAGTCATCCTTGTTCAGAAAGTGGTATTTACTTCTGCCAACCTAAAGTTCTCAGATTCTCCTACCCCTTTCCTTATTTTAACTTTCCCAATCTTATTTTCATACATCACCAAAGAAAATCCTGGGGCAAAACATAAGAGAAAAAACAAGAAATATGCTTCAGTTTGTAACAGAAAACACGAATCAGTTTAATCCTCCCTGCCCAAAACAATTTATCAAGTCTACCAATCTACCATCAGGGTCAATAAATTTTCCCTGATCCTTGCTATACTTTATGATAAGGAGAAGCCTCCACATTTAATTTAGGATCCTTTCGTAAAGCCATAGCAGATTTACATGAAGAATGTTGAGCACGCTGATATAAAGTTTCTACTTTCATGCCATACCTAAAGTGATGAACCCCAGAGGATACTGATAATTCAATATACATTTATTTGAAATAAAACTGACTTATGAAAATAAATCCCCTATTATTTATTTATAGGAAAAGCTCAGCAAACTGTTTTTCTCTTACTCAGCAGGCACTCTGCTACCAGCACATTTAAAAGAGACCAAAATTATATACTTCTTTTTTTTTTAAAAACAGAGTCTCGCTCTGTCCCGGGCCTGGAGTGCAGTGGCATGATCTCAGCTTACTGCAACCTCCCCTTCCCAGGTTCAAGCAATTCTCCTGTCTCAGTCGCCCAAGTAGCTGGGACTACAGGCGCATGCCACCACACCTCGCTAATTTTTGTATTTTTAGTAGAGACGGGGTTTTACCGTATTGGTCAGGCTGGTCTCAAACTTCTAACCTCAAGTGATCCACCCACCTCAGTCTCCCAAAGTGCTGGGATTACAGGCATGAGCCACTGAGCCCAGCCTATCTTCTTAAAAAACAATAATAATTTTATGACTTCCCTCACAGTCAAAATCCTGCCACTTTTTCTACTTCTTAGCTACCTCCATAGGCACCTCTTCCTTAAAACACTCAATTCTAGAACAAAGGTCCAGAGCCCAACCCTTCAACTGCCTTCAGCAAAACACAAGTCTATTCCATCCTAAACTTCCCTCCCTTGTCTGTGCCACGTAACTCATCCTAGGGGGCTTAAGCCTTACAGGATTCAAGGGAGAGGTAAAAAGCCACATTTTTTTTTAGAACTGCATCTTAGTTGATGTAAGACACTAGCATTGTGGATAGGTGAGTCAGCATCAGTTTGTCCTTTTTTTTTTTTTTTTTCCCCCCCTTTTTAAATTTACAACCCAACCAATTCTTGAAAAACCTTTGGGATACATACATTTACTTCTGTGGCCTTAGAGGCATGGCTCTCTTTAAAAATCATAAAAACTTTTTTGGTTTTAAAAAGTCTATTAGCACAAGAAAAATAATTTTACCTTTTATTTTATTCATTTATTTTTTGAGATGGAGTCTCACTCTGTTGCCCAAGCTGGAGTGCAGTGGCATGATACTGGCTCACTGCTGCCTCTACCTCCGAGGTTCAAGCAATTCTCATGCCTCAGTCTCTGAGTAGCTGGGATTACAGGCACACACCACCATGCCCAGCTAATTCTTTTGTAGAGACAGGGTTTCACCATGTTGACCAGGCTGGTCTTGAACTCCTGACCTCAAAGAATCCACCTGCCGTGGCCTCCCAAAGTGCTGGGATTACAGGCATAAGCCACTACACCTGGCCAACAAAAATAATTTTAAAAGGCCAAGCATTTAGTGGGACAGGAAAGTAGAAGACAATTATACACAAAATCTGGGCTAACGAGATTCCACTGTAACCAACCACAAAATTCAGTGCTAACTTTTGAATAGCCACAGGTAAAGAAGGGCCTAAGCATCTGTCATTTAAAGCTAGAAAGGGCACTCAGTTTTCAGAAGAGAGGATTCCTTACACCTCTGTCCTGAGATCTCACAAGAATTTCTTGTGAGCCTTTATATAAGGCATTTCAAAAAACAAAGAAAGGAAAGCAGTTTTGCCTGAACAGCTGAGATGTCTGCACACTCTTTTCTCACACTAGTCCTCATAGAGGCTGAGGGTGTGATATCCGATTGTAACACTTTAAGCTGTTTCTGCAGGGTTGGATGGCTGGAGTTCTGGAAGCACATGCCTGTAGCCTTTTCTAGGAGATGAGGAAGCAGAAGAATTGGAGAAAAGAGGCTGAAGGGAAATGATGGTGCATAGCTCCACCCTGACTCAGAGCACAGAAAAACCCACCAGGGCACAGGCTCCTGCACTTTCACTTCTCTGTTGCCCTCACGCCTCTCATCATGGAACCCTAAGTGCTAAGCCAGGGAGATTACATGGGCTGGGAATGGTGGACTCACTACTCCAGTATGACTAGAATGGTGGATTTGAAATTAAACTGGTTTTCAGGTTCAGTGAAGCGAGATTAGTTAAGTTTTTGCAGGCATCTCTAAACATAAGCTGAATTACATCAGTTTTTCTCTGAAATTACACAGTGTACTTATAACATATCCCCTACTATTCCTTTATCTTTGCATTAAAGGAGCAACCAGCAGGATATTCCAAATGAGGGAAAACTCTACCCCCAAACCTTAAGAGTATAGATGGGTGTTATTTAACTACCTGTGTCAATTCCCCAGGCTTTCTGTGGAAATGACATTATTTTCAGTGTATCAATGCATTATTTTACAAGAAGGATCAACCCAAATTACTTAGTGTTTTATATATTTGGTTATTTAACTTCTAAAGAAAATATTTTGAATGAAAATCCAAATCTCTTGGTTGGCTCCAGAAGAACCCCTAACATGTGAGGACCTATAGATAAAAGAATACCCTTGTGTTTTAATATGTACCCTTTGACTATTTTCCCTCAAAATCCTCATCATCTTGACATGCACAAATGCAGAGATTAAGGCAATGGTATATGCCACCCTGGCCTCTACTACCCATGTAAACTAGCACTGCCCTTAAGACTCTGACCTTTTTTTTTTTTTTTTTTTTTTTTTTTTTGACTGAGTCTCACTTTGTTGCCCAGGATGGAGTGCAGTGGCACCATCTCGGATCACTGCAACCTCTGCCTCCCAGGTTCAAGCGATTCTTCTGCCTCAGCTTCCCGAGTAACTGGGATTACAGGCACACACCACCACACCTGGCTAATCTTTTTGTATTTTTGGTAGAGATGGAATTTTGCCATGTTGGCCAGGCTGGTCTCAAACTCCTGGCCCCAAGTGATCTCCCCACCTCAGCCTCCCAAAGTGCTGGGATGACAGGCATGAGCTACTGTGTCTCACCAGATTCTGATCCTTGATTTCATCAAAAGCAGGGGCTACCAGGAGGAATCTGCTTCTGGAAGGAGGGACAAGAAAGCATCTAGGGGCCAGCCAGTGCCTGAGAAGGCAATTGCTAAAAGTTGGGCAGTGGTAGGTAGATGAGAAAATGGTCACAACTTATTCCTGCTCCCATTTCTCCTCGTTCTGCCTTAAAAGAGGCACCTGGAATTCCATGGGATAGGACAGCAATGCCAGTGTGGGTTGAAGTGCTGCTCTAGGTGGAAGAAAGGTCTTCAGGCAGAAGCATTCCCATCCTTAGGGGCCAAAGCTGGAACTCTCTTGGCCCAGGCGGTAGGCAATGGAGGGGGAGGGGGAGGAGAGGGGAGGTACCTTCAGGAGCAGTTGATATTTGGTGATCCTTTGGACAGGCTTAATTAGGTAGGAAGAGATGGAGTTGGCCAGACCATGCCGCTGCTGTATCTCCTGTAGGGATGAAAAGAAGGTGTAATTAGACACAGAGTGGCATGTGCATGTGTGTGTGTTCTGAAAGGAGAGAGGCAGGAACCAGAAGAGAGGAAGAAAGAGGAAAAGGTAGACAAGTATGAGAAAATGGTCTTTGATAGGGAGAGGGGAGTAAAAAAAAAAGAAACAAAAGAGACCAAGATACATATAGAGAGAAAATAGGAGAGAGAGAGTAAAAAGGGAGAAAGGTTAGGGAACGAAGCAATGTGTGAAACAAACAGAAATTGGGCAAAAATGGAGAAAAAAAGAACAGTAGAAAAGAGAGCAGTAAGGTAAATAACAGAGTGGAAGGTAAGGAGAAATGACGTAGGAGTGAAAGGAAATAAACTTCCAAAAGGGGAGTACAGGGAAGGCAGAGAATGAGGCTTCAATTTCCATTTTGATGGCTCCTAATGAGCCTATCCCTGCCCTCAGTCTCCTTAAAATAGCAGAAAGATATCTCTCTTTTATTAATACCATCCTTCTCTTTAAATTTAACATACCCCAACTTAGGGTCATCACTTTCTTATAAATGTTTCATTGTGATCAATGGCACCTCCTTCATTCTTCAGGTCTCCTAAGCTAGAAATCAGAGAGTCAATTTTAGTAATTTCTCCGCTGTTATTTCTGGTGACAAATCTTTCCTTTCCATTTCCAGGGACATCACCTTCATCACTCATTCCCAGGCTAAGGCCATGGCCTCCAACTGCTGTTTGTGCTTCTATTCTCTCCTTTTAATCTACTCTGTAACCTACCTCCAAAATAATCTTCCACTCCCCAAAATCTAGGGGTTATAAGGGTCAGAAAAAGGTGTATTTTTGTCCCTGCCCTTAAAAAGCTTACAGTCTAGCTGAGAATACTCAATGCACATGAACTAGAGATCAACAAAGGACAATAGGGAAAATTGTACAGCCAATAAAAATAGAGAGAGGTTACGGGGGAGTGGAGGGGGGGTTGGGAGTGGCCGGGTGGTAGGTAGAGATAAGCCTCAACCTCACCTGGGGCTTAGAGGTGAGGTGGGCTGAGGGGGTGGGTTAAGTAAAAGATTAGAAGAATGACATTCACTCACATCAAACACAAAATGTACTAGCTGAAATAATCATTGTATGGTTAGGTGATGATGAGGATCGCAACTGAATGGTACAGAGGATGAACACCCACCTTTTATAAGAAGTGAAAAATATAGTTAGATATGCAAAGTTGGGTCATTGATGGGTTTGAGTTAGGAAAGAGTTAGGATATGATGGTAATTTTTTCAATAAAGCATCACAGATCTTAAAGAGAAAAAACAGCCGAGGCATGGCGTCTCATGCCTGTAATTCCAGCACTTTAGGAACCCGAGGTGGGAGTATCACTTGTGTCTAGGAGTTCAAAACCAGCCTGGGCAACATAGCCAGATCCCATCTCTACAAAAAATACAAAAATTAGCTGGGTATGGTGGCATATGCCTGTAGTACCAGATACTTGGGAGGCCGAGGTGGGAGGATCACTTCAGCCCAGGAGGTCAAGGCTATATAGTGAGCTATGATCATGCCACTGCACTCAGCCTAGGTAACAGAGAGAGACCCTGTCTCAAAACAAACAAACAAAAAACAACAACAAAAAGAAAAAAACACATGAGAGACAGAGAGACAAGTTACGAGGTTATTGGAAAGGCCCAGATGTGTGGACATAAAGTTACCACATGATCCAGCAATTCAAGTTCTAGGTATATACCCAAGAGAAATAAAATATACCCATACATGAACAACCCAAATATACGTAAACTGATAAATGTAAAAACAACATGTAGTATATTCACACAATGGAATAATACTTAGACATAAAGGGAAATGAAGTCCTGATGCATGAAACAAAATAGATGAACCCTGAACACATTATGCTAAGTGAAAGAAGCCAGTCACAAAAGAACATGCATTGACTCAATTTTTATGAAATGTCCAGGCAAGGCAGATCTATCTGTAGAGATATAAAGTATATATCATTGGTTGTTTGGGGGTGGGAGTTTGTGGTGGAGAGCTGGGGGGTGATAGCTAAAGGATACAGGACTGCTTTGTGAGGTGATAGAAATGCCCTAAAATTGACTGAAGGGATGGTTGCACATATCTGTCAGCACACACAAAAAACCACTGAATTCATGTTTTAAATGGTTGAAATGTATATCTGAAATCATCTCTCAATAAAGCTGTTATTTTAAAATAGGTCCAGGTATGCAATGTAGGGATAAGCTCTAAGCTAGAATTAGTGAGAATAAAGCATTGGGAAGAATAAAAGAGATACTTTCTTCTTTTTTTTTCTTTTTTAAAGATGGGGTTTCACCACGTTGGTCAGGCTGGTCCTGAAATCCCAACCTCGGGTGATCCGCCCACCTTGGCCTCCAAACTGCTTGGATTACAGGCATGAGCCACCATGCCTGGCCAAAAAAGAGATATTTTAAAGATGGACTAGATAGGACTTGTTATGGGCTATGAAGAATAGTAAAGGATAAAGAATAATAATTTTAAAAATTATTCCATTTCCTATCAGAAATTATTTCTATCCCAGAAAGCAGTAATTTTGTCACCATTTGCCTCTTCCGCAGAGGTGTGTGGTTACAAGACTTGTTTGAGGATGATGGGCAAAACAGCTACAGCTTAACTCTCTTCAGGCAATGGAACCTGTGAGTTTATCTGGGGCTTTTGGCAAGACAGCACAAGCAACAATGCACCTTTGACACTCTTCCCTCTCTGATGAGAAGCCCAGCTTCAGGAAGGCTGCATGTGGAGCAGCGAGGAAGGGGCCTATGTCAGTCAAACCAAACTGAGACATCACAGCCACGCTCTTCTCACATTTAGGGTCAAACGTTCTGGATCATGTGAATGTGTAACCCTTTCTAGGACTTTAATTCTCTGTGCTCTCTTAACAGTAATGGATATTAGGGGACTCTCTTTATTAAGGGTTTATCTCATTTAGAGAATGAGGGCCTAAAGCAGATGGTTCCTAAATGCAGACGTTAGGGAGACTCTTCTGACGAAATGAAAATAAGCTACAAAGATTATACCTTTTGGAAAGTTTTGAAAGCAATCAGAGAGTTTACTCTCCTCCTTCCCCACTTCCAGGGCAGACTTGAAGAACTCCGCCTGGACTGTTTTTCTGGCTTCTATCAGCTTTTCCAACTAAGGTAGAGGCTCGCTAGGCACTACATTGGAAATGGGGGGCAGGGTGGGAAATTTGGGGATATACCTGACTTATCAAAGCCTAGATATTGGCTAGAAATGGAGATGTGAAGTATGTAAGACTAAGGGAAAACACAGCCTAGTGCCAGGCACTGAGATGTTTACAAATATGAATCAGGCATAAAGTCTCAAGGAGCTCACAGGTGGAGGGAGATACGAGTAATAGAGAGGTACACTGCTAACCCGCCCAAAGGAAAATCATTACAAATGCTATAACAAAGATACAAGTACAAAGGAAAGGATTCATGCAGGAAGCAGCATGTGACCTTTAAAGGATAGGAAGAATTTTGGAGAGAGAGAGAAAGAAGGGTGTGTGTGTGTGTGTGTGTGTGTGTGTGTGTGTGTGTGTATGTGTGTGGTGTGGCGGGGACACAATCTATCCTAGGCAGAGAGAGCAGCGTGAGCAAAGATATGAAGCAGAAGAGTTTGAGGCATGCTCAGAGCACAGGACATGTATGTCAGAAAAGTGCTAAGTGGAAGATAGGACATGATACATTTAAAACATCAGAAAAAACCTTCTGGATACTGTTCATGAATAATCAACAGAAGCATCCTAAGGGAAAAAGATTCTCAATCAGAGGAAATGGTGGTATAGAGCACCCAATGTGATACCCAATAATATCAAGTCAAAGAAGTACTTTTCTTGGGGTCTTCTTTGGTCCCAAATCTAACCCCCGATACTCCAGTGTGGGACACATAGAGCCATTTCCATATTAATGCTCCATTAAAAAAATATGTGTGTTTCTTCATCTGGTTTTCCCTCATTAGAGTGTCATTTCTTTACTGAACATAAGACATTTATAGAATCACTTCTGTTGAGGCAGTCCCAGGCTAGAAAGATGCTCAAGGAAGATTTCTTTTGCACACCTGAGTACAAGAACCCTGTTTAAATGTCTTTTATTCTCCACGGGGCCTAGCCCACTACCTTGCATACAACAGACATCCAAACATTTATGAAAAAAAATGAAAACAGGTAGGCAGAAAGATAGATAACCTTTAAAAAGTTCTAAGTTTCTAGTTTGTCACTTCTGATATGACTACCAAAATGGCCGTCACTGCCATAGTCTGCCTCTCACTAAACTTTTTTTCCCCCAATTTCATTTTTCCCTCTTATTCATCCTTTGAATCCTGCAGGGATCCCTGTGATTTTGCTTACTATAAAGCCAATATATCACTCTCTTTGGGAATCAGCACTAAATAGATAGATCTCACCATTCACCAACAAGACTGTGTCATCATTCCAAACCAAAGGATCTGACAAGGCACGCTAGCCTCACTCTTTTCTTGGCTTCTATCATAGCAGAAGTGTTCAGGCCTGGCTGCACATCACTCTCACCAGAAACTAAAATATCCCAATGCTCAGGCCATAGGCCAATCATAGCAGAACCTCAGGCATGGGATTCAGGATCAGTTTTTTCAAAGCTTGCCAGGTGATTCCAATGTGCAGCCAAAGTCAAAACAATTGCATTAGAGAAGTGATTCTCAAACTTGAGTGGACTTCAGTCACCCAGAGGCCTCCTTAAAACTCAAGTTGTTGGGCTCCCCCCGAGAGATTCTGATTTAATAGATGTGGACTGAGGTCCAAGGATCACACTTCTGGAAACACTGTTTGTGAGAGCCGTATAAGAAGCAGAAGTGAAATACATTAATCAACAGCTGCATCACAGTGGGTCTGCTCTAAACATGTGCTTTATGGCTTCCTAGGTTTGTTGTGGAGGCAAGGAGACAAATTTGCTTCATCAAAAATCACATTGATTGACACAGGATAGGGTAAAACAAAATACAGGTATAGATATTTTTGGGTTTTTTTTTTCTATGCTTAAGGTTTGGAGTGGCCAGTAAAGAAAAATTAGGAACAAAGGATAGCTAAACATCCATTATGCTAAAGCAGAGAAGCATTTCCACCTGCTCATCGGCTGCTCAAAAATGGAAGAGCAAAACTTACATCAAAGAAGGTGCCCGCATGCTCCAGGATAAGCTGGTTGGAATCAGGCTTGTTTTTACAGTAGGTGACATACATCTGAAATTTGTCTGCCTAAAAAGAACAAAGATAATGACAGGTAAGTATACATTAGTTGCTCCCTTCTGTCCACAATGCTAAAGGGCCCAGCAAGGGCCATACAGTTAAAACCCTCAGATCCCAAGGGCTAGATTTTCTATGGCAAATGTTCTGTGCTCATCCAGCCCCCATGGTCCCCTAACAGACATGGAGATGTCTTTCTCCTGTCAGCATGTAGAAAAAGCTTCTGAAACTGAGCTCATTTTAATACTAGTTTGTGCTAGGAAGAATCAGGAAAAGCAACTCATACATCCTGATCTATTCTGAAATTGGACAGAACTTAGATACTGATTTTACCCTTTTTTGGATTACCTACAATTGTGCTCCCCATCTTGAAAAAAGATAGCATTTGCCCTTAATACAAAAACAAATAATGAAGATAAAGTACGTTCTCAGAGGTAGACCTGCTTGTACTCTAAATGTCTCCATTGGAGAGAGACAGAGGGGCATGTCAAGCAACTACCATCCCCAGCTTCCCAGAGCAATGACGGAGGTGGGCGAGGGAAGAGAAAGCAGATTGACCCCCTGGGGCAGAGGCTAAACGATGGTTCCTAACCAGATTTTGTTACTTCAAGCCAGGAACCTTATGGCTGGGTGAAAATTCATTTCTTATTTTCACCCAGCCATAAGGTTACTGGGAAAGGTATGTATATTTTGGCCACCAAATGCTTTTCTTATTTGGTGAAATGCTACTCATCTCAGAGCCTTTGGAACTTTGTGTTTGCATCCTCTTCTGAGACAGCAGCCCAAATATGTGTTTATTACAGCAGACTTCATTTACGCTAGCATTGTTCTAAGAGCTTTGCATGTATTCACTCGTCTCGTCCTCATGAGACCTCTACACAGTGAGTTCTATTATTATCCCCAGTTTGCCAATGAGAAAACTGTGGCACAGGCTGGTTAAGTGACTTTGAATTCCCACAGTTAGCAGGTAGCAGAGCCCTAACCAGCTAACTGTGGGAATTCAAAGTCACTTAACCAAGCAGGGTATCTGACTTTAGGCTTCTTGGTCTTAACCACTTTCTTTCAATACGTTATAAACAATTTCTTCTACCCTTCATTTCTGTATTACACTCATATATCAAGATTATGAGACTTAAGAAAGTCACCTTGGGATAATTCTTGGCAAAAGATGAATATTTTATCCAATCACAAAAATTTTCTGAAACCAATTTTCAGGGCTATATACTACCTAAGAGGTTATTCATCAACCCGAGATGATGATAAATCATTCTTATGACTTATGATTGTAAAGGAAATCCACAAATTTCATGATACAAGATGCAAACAGTATCCCTTTACCTAATGGTCAATGTTGCCATTCTCTATGTTGGCTGTGCAAGGAATCATAAATTATTTATCAGCATTAGTACAAGCTTTGCATTGGCTCATCTATTTAGAGGTAGAGAATGTATTAGAACAAAATAAGATGGTAGCTGAGCTTTCTAAAGAAACAAGAGTGCTTGAAAGCAAGCATTAAGAGTTCATGGAAAAAACTTGTCTGGGAGTGAGGTCTTGAGTTGTGGGACTGGCTGTGATATTTATTACATGGCAGTGAACTAGTCAACTTTCTATCTCATCTGAGATTTTCCCATCTTTAAACTCTAAAATATAAACCATAGTCCTGCCTACCACATAGGGCTGCTGAGAACATAAAGTCTCTGAATCATGAAGACACTTTGAAAGGTAATTAGCCCATTATGAGTGGAAGTTATCATCAGGTAATTATTAAGTAGTAGAACGCCTGACCTCGGGGATTTCCATGTTTGCATTCAGTGTCCTACGCGGACTTCCCAGTAGATGTTTGCATTCATTGCATTCATATATTGTACATGAGCCTGAGTTCAGAGTGGACAGCCAATGAAGACTAATATTTCAGTTTGTATAATGAGAACCTGGGACATTCAGCCCCTTTCCTTGGCCCATGACAATAGCATGAAGGAGGCTGACCACTCATCTTGTGGGTCAGAATTGGGATGGATGCCCCAAAAATCTGTTATTCTCTATGAAAGAAGACAATGTAACCAATGGTTAGGTGGAACTCAAAGGATAAACGCTTGAGGAGATGGACACCCCATACATTCTCCATGATGTGCTTATTTCACATTGAATTCCTGTATCAACATATTTAGTCTGCCCCATAAGCATATATACCTACCATGTATACACAAAATTAAAGATAAAAAAATTTTTTTTAAACGGTTAGGTGGCTTCCTAAAGGTTTAATTCCCTAATCCGTATCCTTTAAGAATAGCTAACGGACTGAGCTGTAGTTCCTCTGCCAGGTGTGGTAGTCTTGTTCTACTCTTCTTCTTCTTCTTCTCCTTCTTTTTCTTAAGAAAGAGTTTCGCTCTTGTTGCCCAGGCTGAAGTGCAATGGCGCCATCTGGGCTCACCGCAACCTCTGCTTCCCGAGTTCAAGTGATTCTCCTGTCTCAGCCTCCTGAGTAGCTGGGATTACAGGCACGTGCCATCATGCCCGGCTAATTTTGTATTTTTAGTAGAGACGGGGTTTCTCCACGTTGCTTGGGCACCAGCACCTCAGGTAATCTCTGAACCTCAGGTAATCTGCCCACCTTGGCCTCCCAAAGTGCTGGGATCACAGGAGTGAGCCATTGCACCTGGCCTTATGCCACTCTTCTGATCTCACAATTTGAGAAAGTTCTTAGACAGTTTAAGAGGGAGGTTAATCTTGATGTCTAAGAACTTTTCCCAAGGCTTCTCTCAGACCTACTCATGATCCCTCTCAGGAGCCCCTGGTCCTGTGTGAGACTGGCAGTGACACCAGTCCTCAGGTCAGGCACTGAAGAGTGGTGCCACATGTATGGGCAGTGGGAGGAGGATTTCAAGTTGGTTACCCAGGTAACAAAGCAGTGTCCCACATCTTCAGGCAGCTGCTCGTACTTCTCCAGCTCTTTGAGGAAGATGCTGCAAGAGGAGAAAAAGACTGAATCAGACACCTCTGTGCAGCTGACCCCCACAGGATTGCACCACGGCCAGCACAACCATAACTTTTCAATTATTTACACATGGCTTCTCTACTGTCTAAGTGATAGATGGTGAGGTGCAGTTTTTAATGTTGGAACTAATTTCATTAAAATGTGGGTTAATTAATTAATTAGTGCTACTTAAAATAATATTCATTCTCTCAGGGTGAAAACGTCCAGGGGTGAAAATAATAATGAAATATTGTATTTGTGCTGGACTTTTTATCAGCAAGTATGAATCTACTTTTTTTACACAAGTAATCTGAGCACATCATAAATATTTTAAATAATACAGATACTTCAAAGAAACAAAGTAAAATATCACATTATCCCAGAGATAAAGTAGAACAAAATTCATCCTACACTGTCCTCTTTCTAATTGTTGGCCTCCATCTTCCACCAGGAGCCAATTTGTACTAAAAACTATGTGTTAAACAATGTTTTATAATACAAACACCATTAGGAAAGAAAACTTAATGAGTAAAAAGTCACAACATATTCCAAAACTGAACTGAATTAAAATTGAATTATCTGCCAATGTGGTTATCTGTGCCATGGCTCCTTTCCACATTAATAAATAATAAATAATTACACTGACTTCAAAATAATGTATTAAATCATTGGTTTGGTTTCAGAGGATATAAATTCTAACAAGCCAGCATTATTATTAGAATGGTATTTGCTTTAAAAAAACAGCAGTATTTTTCAAATAAAAAATAATTATGAGGCCTTGGGGATACATACTGACAGAAGTGGAAATGCTATGATCTTTACAAGGAACAATTTGACAGGATCAATTAAATAACCAATGTGTTTATTTTTTGAGTCTGCAATTTTAATTCTGGAAATTTTCCTGTAGTCACATCTACATATATAAGATGATGTAGATGTGAGTATTAGTGATATACTTTTTATACAAGCAAAAGATGGTCTGTAAAGAACAAGGCATTTAAACTATGGCACACCCACAGAACTAAGTCCTATGTAGCAATGAAAAAAATACACAGCTCTCTATGTTTTCATATGGAAAAACTCTGGGAAAAGCTAAGTGGGAAAAGGTACAAAAGAATGTATAGAATGTGCCACTTTTTGTCTAAATAATGTACAGAATATGCAACTTTTTGTCTACATAGGGATGGCATATTCTTATTTCCAACCCAATAAATGAATAAAAGACATTACCACAGGGAAGCAGGTGAAGGAACAGAACAGAAGACAGTGGTCGGTGATACTTCTCAATGTTTACTTTTCTGTCTAATTTTGATTTTAAAATTGTGAGAATGCATTATCTTCGAAAATTGAATGATAAGATATAAAGTGGTTCTGCTTGACTCTACTACTTACCTGTACCACAGAGGGGAAGAAGGTTTTTGACCAACTCTTCCTAGCTTCTGTTGTTCACATATTTTGGCAGTATGTCATAATTAATTACAAGTGGTTACGGATTTCACATAAGTGTTGCATGTGTTGCTCCTTCAGTGACAAAGAATGACGTTTTGGAGCTTAAAAATATATATGTGCCATTAAAAATGCTTGGCAGGTCCTATTTGGAAAGCCAAAATGTGAATTATAGTTGAGGCACTACAGATGACTTATTTGTCCATCTGTAACTTTTCTACAATAAATGAGCATTGCTTTAATAATAAGAAAAAAAGCCATTTTAAAAAATCTGGGGACTCCAAGCAGTACCCAGTTGGTGATCATCATCTTTGTCCTTATATATGTGATTTTAGAGTATTCTGACCTAAATCATAGAGAATTATAATGTAATTTGGGCTTCAGAAATGCAAATATGTAGTGCTCAAGGTCAATAAAGTGTCATATTTGTGGCTACTTTTTAAAGAATTACAAGTGGCTGGGCGCAGTGGCTCACGCCTGTAATCCCAGCACTTTGGGAGGCCGAGGTGGGCAGATCATGAGGTCAGGAAATAGAGACCATCCTGGCCAACATGGTGAAACCCATCTCTACTAAAAATACAAAAATTAGCTGGGTGTGGTGCCATGTGCCTGTAATCCCAGCTACTCGGGAGGCTGAGGCAGGAGAATTACTTGAACCAGGGAGTCAGAAGTTGCAGTGAGCCAAGAATGTGCCACTGCACTCCAGCCTGGATGACACAGTGAGATTCCGTCTCAAAAAAAAAACAAAAACAAAAACAAAAACAAAAAACAAACTATAAGTGACACATTTAAACTAGTATGTACTTAATATGACCATTAAAATGCAAATTTTAAAAAGCACTATATAATGTTATAATTGAGGATCACACTTAAGACCCAAAGGGAAAAATATACTCTTTTTTTGTTGAGAAAAGAATCAATCTAGGTCATTATCATATATATATATACACACACACAGGTACACATACATTCATATATATACTTATATATATTTAATTTAAAATTAAAAAAAAATTAAATAATAGAGATGAGGTCTTGCCATGTTGCCCAGGCTGGTCTCAAACTCCTGAGCTCAAGTAGTCCTCTTGCCTTGACCTCCCAAAAAGCTGAGATTACAGGCATGAACTGCCATCCCCAGCCTGAGCTCTTCTCCTTGAAGAGTAGTAAAATAAATGGTAAAACAGCCTGGATCAGGACATTCCACATAGGACATACAATTGTTTTATTGTTTCAGAAGTTGCAAGGATACTCATGATGACTCACGGAGAGTCATTACTTATTACCCAAGAACAGTTGGCCTGGTCACTTTAATTTGAAGTAAACAATGATAATTGCGTCTAAAGAATTGATCAGTGACAGAGAGAAAGACAGTGCTACCAATTTTATTTAAAATCTTACCAATTTAAATAGAGCAATACCCTGACTTTTGCGATAGCAGCTACCAAAAACCTATAGGAAGATGCTAGAATTTGAAAATCCTCAGGAAACAAAAACACTATAACCAGAATTAAATGTACATCTTATAATTTTCATAATGAATGTCTTTCTGTAAAGTGAAGGTTTTAACAGCAGCTATCACTACCCATCTACCTACCCCCCGGTCTCACTTTCTTCTCCTCCCACAACTAAGCACAAGTTAAAGAACCAGAGTTCATACTTGGTCACAGTTGCGAAGGGGACTTCCTTCCAAAGCCTCATTCCCCTCATCTTTAAATAACAACTTTGCTGAGGCGGGTGGATCACCTGAGGTCAGGAGTTCGAGACCAGCCTGGTCAACATGATAAAACCCCGTCTCTACCAAAAATACAAAAAAATCAGCTGAGCATGGTGGAGGGTGCCTGTAATCCCAGCTACTCAGGAGGAGGCGGCGGTTGCAGTGAGCCGAGATCGTGCCACTGCGCTCCAGCCTGGGCATTAAGAGCTAAACTCCATCTCAAAAAAGATGAAAATAAAAATAAATAACAACTTTGTGGGAATGCTTTTAAGGATTTAATAAATCCACAGGTAAAAAGAACCCAACCCAGTACCTGGAAACACAGTAGACATTAAGTAAATAGTAGTTATTCATGATCAGTGTTTCTCAATCTTAATAAACTCACACTCTCTTTAATAAACACATATATGTGACACTCTTCCCCACTCCTGGAGACGTATCTAGGGGGAACTCCCTACCAAGCCCTTGCTGAAAAATCTGCAGCAGGTTACTTTCTCCTAAACCATATCCTAGGAAAATCTTGATTGGTTATCATGCAAAAATTGGATTCCAAGGTCACCTATCACTTGTTTGGGAAATGTTGGGCTAAGCTGGTTTCTTTGCTGAAGAACTTCCAAAATTCCATAACATGATGAGTTACACTATAAACCACTGAAGTAAATACAATATGCAGTGCTTCCCAAACTTCTTTGCGAGTGCAACACTTTTGGGGCAAGTTTCAGACTTTGTCTCAAGAAACACTCTTGGAAAACTATAGTTAGTGGTCCCCACACCTGGTTGTACATTGCCCTCTGGAGTTACTATCTGAGTAAATGCATTGTTTAGAAAAACTTCCTGGGTAATTCCCACACATCAAGTCCATAGATCAGCTTTTAAAGGCAACTGTCCCGGATTCCAGCATGCTTCTGATGGCAAATCCTACATTGGCTCTATAGGATTGAATTTAGGAGGAGAAAGCTAAGAATTTAAAAAATAAAACCTATTCAGCTTGTGTCAGGCATATCAATTGATAAGTCTGAACAAGAAAATTATCACCATCTCAATGTAATTGTTGAAAGTAAGTGGCAATATTAAACTCTGTTTTGCTTCTTAATTTGAAACTTATGAAGATGACAGATTACGTAAGTCTGATCAATATCATTCCACTTATCTCAAATAGACATGATGAATTTAAATTAAAGCATAACAGCTCACAACTCTCTTCACAAATGATGGAACATTTCAGCTTAGCTGTTCTTTAGCAACAATTTGGCTCTTACCACTCCAATAATTACATGTAATAAATTGTGAAAGAATGAGCAAAGCAAGTCATTTGTTTGTGTGAATGTCTAGGGTTCTTTCAGAAAGGAACAAAACTTTTAAAGAAATGTCAAGATCAAAGCAATGCCATTACTCTATTAAATTTTTACAATATAATATATTATGCAGTTTCTTTATGAGAAGAATTCTTCCCTTTGGCTTTGTACAGAATCCCGGGAAATGAAACTGCTGGTATTCATTAGCAGAAAGCTTACTGAGTTTTGTCATTAAGTATTATAGAAGCAGCACTATTCCAAAGGTACCGGAATGGTTTTGTTAGTCTCTCTGAAGGTGAATTTGGTCTAGAGTCTCACTGCTTCTGGGGAAGTGTATCCTTCATTGAGGGGCTCACAATCTTGTCAGCAAACAGACTGACATCAAGGGTGCCGTCTGCATCTAAATGGAAATATCTGTTTGATGACCTTGTGTGTCAATGTGCACTTGCTTGCTGGAATGCCAGAGGTGGTGATAAGGGGAAGGGGCCTGTTGTGGCGATGGGAAAAAGAGGAACAATGTGGAGCATACATTTA